AACCAAGCACACTCACATTCACACCTACGGACAATTGAGAATCACCAATTAACCTCAACATGTTTTTGGACTGTGTGGGAGGAAGCCGGAGAACCTGGAGAGAACCCACGCTGCACGGGGAGAACATGCAAACTCCACATAGAAAGATCCTGGGTGTTCTCACCGGGACTCGAACCGGCAGTCACCTTGCAGCCCCCCAGGAAGTATAATGCAGGTATAAATTAGTTTTTTTTTTCACACAGTCTTTGGTAGTACCACTATCTGCTTTTTTTGAAGGAAGAAATAGAATATGAAATACCCATTTTTTCCTGTAGAACACAGCCTAATATATATATTTAGTAGCTGCTTTATACACCTGGAGATGACGGTGGTGGTGGTGAAGTGGTTCTGATTTTTTTTTCTCCATCCAATCACGATAGTACATCAGTACCAAGATTAGGTAAGGCAGAGTAAAACCAACCTGGCAGACTGAATAATATACACACTTCAGCTCTGATCTCAGCGTTAAAATATATAATCATCACCTTAATGTGATGTGTTAGTGTTAACAAAAAGGGAACACTGTAGGTCTCTGAAAAGTAGACTTGTTCCTATTTCTGTCCTCTGAGTGTATTTGTTATCAATGAAACTAGAGTTTAAATCAAGTTTCTTTATGTTTGAACATCTGAGCATTGGTTCCACATGAGCATAAACATGCAGAGTTTTTTTTTTTGTGTGTGAGTTATTCATCTCAGCTGCTACCAGGCATCGCTGAACTTCCTTTGTGAGCCGCCGATGCAGCGAGGAGGAGGAGGAGGAGGAGGAGGAGGAAGAGGAGGAGTAGCTGACTGGTGCTGCATTGTACTGTCTGATGAAGAGCAGGATTGTACTGTCTGGAGAGCAGCGCTGATTTCCTGTAGAAGACAACCCTCATGTTGTTCCCCTGAGATCCCCCCCCTCTAAGCATTCCTTAACTGAGCGACAGCTTGGCGGCAGTTCCATAAATCTAGTACCAATATACAGTTTAGCCACTAGATGGTCCTACTGTGACGACTGGGAATCAGATCCACTTGAAGAATCCAGTGTGATAGAAAAGAGCTGTTCTTTTTTTCTGCATATGTAAAAGCGCTCAAGAATGGGAAGCTTGTGTAACACTGCTTTAGATGTAATAAGAATGACTGGGGATCAGGAACATTCACTTTGGATAATGCCAGCATGCATAAGCACCAATAATTCTGGATACATGCATACAGCTGCCCTTTTATCACTGTAAGGAATAAATACACAAGCATATTGCAGGGAAAAGACCGAGGCTCAATGGGACAGATGGTTGCTGTGCTATCTGATTTTTTATTGCCGCGCTTGTCAGCGACACTGTAAAAATAAATGATCCGTAGCATTTGGCGACAACTTAATGTTACTCCTCAAAAAGGCCTCTTCATGTGGTTATCCTAATTACTAAAATGCTACGTATTTATAAAGCTCTTAGCCTGTTGAGATATGCATTCACACGCAAGTCAAATGTGGGGAAATGGACGTATTTTAAAAATAATAATAACAATACAAATAAAGATGTAGGGATTTTATTCAATTTGAGGAAAAAATATTTGTTTAAAGTTAGACTGCTTTACAGTTAACGCCTCGTGTTCTATTTTTAGATCATCAAATCACAGTTCCTCATATCTGTTTGTTATATCGCCACTGTTGAATCCTATTTTGCAAGATATATACAACATTAATTAGTGTCAGACAGAAAAGAAGACAGCGTCCTCACACTGTGTCTGTTTGTTTCTTGTTTTACTCTTGAATCCAAAGCATAATGTCATGAGCTAGTTTTACACTAGATAGCTGTACGAGGCTGACCCAGCAGCTCTTTTCCTGAGAGATCCATGCATTGAAATGTGGCAGTAACACAATGAGCTGGTCAGACAGGGGTCTTCAAATGGAATCTGAAGAGGTAGAGATATGTAGCTGCACTTTTCTCTAAATGGAAGTCTGCACCTGAGAGGACAGGGCATGTTTTTTGTGGTGTGCCCTTCTTTCTTCATCATTGTCTCCTTATTTCTAAGAGCTTCTTTTAAAGAGTTTTTCATCACACGTCGTATGCGCGATCTTTGGTGCCGACCTGACAGCGAGAATGTCTCTTCCTTCTTGGTGAAATAAGATTCTTTCAACGGTTGTTTTCCAACAGGATCCAAATGAATTTTGGCCAGACACAAGGAAGAAAAAAGGAAGAAGAAGAAAAAAAATCTATCAATTTAGTGCATGACAAATAAAGGTATTATATGCTGCACACACATTGCCAGTCTAATTTACATTCCGGTCTTTTCATGTTGAAATGAGCTCAGAAAGTTTGAGACATTTGCATCAGAATTACAACAGTACGGTGGTGTCAGCTGTTAGTAATGAGAAGGTTCTGGATTTCAGCTTGCTGCACAGCTGGGACTTTTCTGTGCAGAGTTTTGCATGTTTTCATAGTTTTCTATGAGTGCTTTGACTTCTTCCCACCCACCAAGGACATGCATGGTGGGTTAATTAGTGATTCTAAATCAGCAGCCAAGGGTGTGAGTGAGAATGTGTATGGTTCTTGTGGCTCATTGTGTTGGCCCTGTGAAGGACGTGACGATTTGTCCAGGGTCAATCTCGCCTCTCACCCAAAGCAAGTATAGCTACTGGATAAATGGGTATTACATCTCTTACTGAACGCTTGCACAGAGTATTGGAGTGTAGGTGTTTAACTGCTGAAAGACACTGAGACTAAAAAAAAAACAACTGAATCATCTACAGGATATTAGTCTCTAATCTGAATAAAGAAAAATAAAGAAGAGTTCAGATGAAAACCCCTCTTCAAACTACATGAATATAAGCAAAATGTTCGAGTTAGAAAAAAGGTCTTGACAGCCACATCATACATATAAAACATTAAGCTAAGTACTATAGGTGCAGCTTTTTCACATAGCCTTTTGTGTTTAGGCCAAACATAGTTTACGTCACTGAACAAAGGATCTTTTGCAAGAACTCCATTCAAAGGAAAGATTTTCAAAAAAATTCTGTTGCAGTGTTGCCATGTGGACAGGAAGAAACTAAGACCTGATTGGGTCTTATTAGTTCCTACTGAAGCAGTCAATTAGTTTATTTTGCTTTAGAAGGTTCTTAACAGAGTGACATGACTTGGAAGTGTCTTAGTGGCAGCCATGATAAGAGCTGGTCAAATTCTCTAAGCACAAAGAAAAGGTGCTTCAATGCTTCCTTTCTTATCTCCTTTAGCAAAGAATACAGTAGCCTGTGCTTTACAAAGGAAAGGAGATAAATCCTTCCCCACAAGTCCAGCAACATTCAAAGTGACGCAGCATCCACGTCACACCCACGTCATCAACATCCACCATCCATCCATCACATGATTATGTAGCCACCTGAGTCTGGACATTATCAGCACAGTCAATGGTCAGTATCAGGGAGGACCTTCTTCATTGTCTACGAGGTCAAAGGGCACGTTATCATTCATTGTGATCGTGAATAAAGAGAAAGCAACCTAAATAATATAGGTGACCATTGGTGGTTGTGTGAATAAGCGCACGTGAAGTCTTTATCACCATAAAAATGTTCAAAGTGCAGCCAACAAGTGGTAACTATGGCGACGGGGTGTATTTTAACCCAACTCATGATTGTTTTCTAAACCTATTGAAACAGTTTTGATGCTTACGTTTTACCAAACCCAGAGTGAAAACACAAGTAAACACTGAAAAACAATGTGAAAAAGTCAAAAAAAAAATCATAATGTTTCAAGATGGGACTAAAGTGTCCTGGTTGAATGTCAGCTCACACCACCACCATCCACCCAGCCTCCAAATGTAGACTTCAGTTCCTCTGTACGTGCAAAATCATAACTCCATTGCCATTAAATGAGGTAATAACAGAACACCATTAAATGGGGTGATAATGGTCTGCTGAGTCTAATAAAAAGTGAGGAAGGTCCCTATCGGCCAATATTTATGGAAATAATATGCAATGATAACGGCCATTTAAAGGGGCTGATAACATCTGGAGCAGGTGTACATAGCCTAGAGTCTAGTTTTAAACACGGTTTTAAAATGAAAACATATACTAGCCTCAAACTGAACTGCACGATCTGTGAAGCATTTCAGCTACAGAGCGATCAAACTCAATCAAGCGATCAAAATGAACATTTTCTAAAAACCCAAAATGATATCAGGCACAAAGTGAGTGGAACAGGACATCAGCAGCATAAAAAGAGATATCTCTCTCTCTCAGTGTTGCAGCTAAGGTTAATTCAACCATGTGCTGTACTGTCTGCTTCCACAAACATGAGATGGCAGATTCAGGTGCATCAGTGAGGAGATAATTAGTCCAGGCTCCACAGACAGTCTGGGAGGAGAGACGGAGGACACAGCGGTGCAAATGAGCCTATTATCTCATTTCCTTAACTAGTTGCAAAATTGTGTTGAGACCGAATGGAGCTC